GAGGGGGGGGGGGGGGGGGGGGGGGGGGGGGGGGGGGGGGGGGGGATTAGAAGAAATCTATGGGAGAGCTTGGACCTCTCAGAAGTCCAATTATCTTTTCATATTGTATTTCATTGCTTTAATAGAAAAGTTACCTAGCTTACGGATCAGCATCCTGCCTTTAATTTCATTGTATCTTTTCACTATTATATCAGTGCAGCAATATAAACCATAGTCTCGTTGCATCATTGAATCCTGTTTCCATTCATAACTATTCTAATTCCTCTGTTCAACAACCAATTGATACAAGAACTTAACATGCATTTTTAGGGATAAGGGCCAGACCTGAGACTGCTATAATATGTAAATAGTAAACGAAGTCAGAGTGCAAAATAAACCTGCCACCTCAATCACTTTTGTGTGAGATTGATAATTAACCTTAACGTTTTGACAATATATTAAATAGGCGAATCAGATTTAGTCAGTGTCTTAAAAATTAGTGCCAATGAAATTATGAAAATGCCACTTGTTTACGTATTACATGAGATAGCTCACTGAAAGTAATTTAACCAAGTAAAATGAATCCAAGCTTTCGTATACAAATGTGTTCATGCACTGAGAAAAATTAAGTTTTGCATCATTCTCAGTATTAGATGAGTTGAGTGGGCTGCATGGTCCGGGAAAAAATCATGGGTTTAGGAAAATTTCTCTCACTTTTATAACATTTTTGCAAATCTTTTATGTTGCTACTTATTACTAATGCATGTTAGGGCTTATTACATTTTATAACATTTTTGCATTGACTTTAGTATCAAGTAAAATGTTTACTTAAATTTCAAAAAACTATTGAAATGAATTTAAATATTACACATGAACATGTCATGTGTATGAGAATGCCATTCTGATCATCACATGTCTAGGTAGACATTGGACCCTGTTCACAACCAATGATGAATAGCATTAAATGTGTAATAATTACGTTACTGAAAATGGTAATTCTAAAATTGAAATTATTAAGTATTTCCAAAGGAAATTTTTCTTCATAGTCCATAAGACAGTAATTGCTAGTAAAAGAAGTAGAAATCTAGTTCAAGTTCTACATCTAACACTAATTTTATACCTACTTAGTTATATAGATATTCTGAAACTGATTATACTAGGAATTAACAAATAAATAAATAATAGAGGATTTAAAATTTTAAATTGGTGGAAATCACATGAAAGAGCACATACAGTGCTTTCTACTATGCGAAAAGACCAACTAACAGTTTCAACAGTCAAATTGGTGTACTTTTATTGCAGGCAACAAAGTGCTTGAACCAACTGACATCAGAAATTTTACAATGCCTCGTGTTCTCGAGGTTTGAAAAGATACAAAGATCATAGAATAGAGAAAGCCTGATCTCAGAAAAAATTTGTTGAAATATAACATGATGTATCATTAATGAACCTATGTGAATTATAAAGTTGTATCATCTGAAATGATAGATAGTTTAATATGTGTCAATCTAAAATTATTCTAATTTACATTTTTACTTTAA